CCTGGACAGGGCAGCCAAGCCCCTGGGAACCTCAAAAGTGGAAAAATGAAGTTAACACTCACCAAGCACTTATTGTCTGTCAGGTACTGCTCAGAGGGCTTTACTGCATGATCTCACAATAACCTTGTGAGTTGTTGTTGTTTAGTGGTGTTGTTGTTTGGTGGCTAAGTCATATCTGACCTTTTGCAACTCCATGGTCTATGGCCTGCCAGGCTGGCTCCTCTGTCCATGGAATTCTTCAGGCAAGAATACTGGAGTGGGTTGCCATTTTCTTTTCCAGAGGATCTTCCCCACCCAGGGATCGAACCCACGTCTTCTGCATCGCAGGTGGATTCTGTACCACTGAGCCACCAGGGAAGTCCAGAGACTCTATGAATCTATCATTCGGGGTAAGTAGAATAAGTGGACAGTCAGCTGGGTAGCATCACTGATCCCTAAAGCCCTTCCAGACACTCCAACCAGGGCTAGAGAGGAGAAACTAGGTATCCTTCAGGGAATCTTCTTTTTGTAACCCCCCCCCCCAAAAAAAAATTCATTTATTTATTTGACTGCACTGGGTCTTAGTTGTGGCATATAGGATCTAGTTCCCCAACCAGGGATTCAACCTGGGCTCCCTGCATTCATAGCACAGAGTCTCAGCTACTGGACCACCAGGGAAGTTCCCAGGGAATCTTCTCTAATGGACAGGAGTGAGAGGCTCTGACCCTGGCAGGCGGCTCCAGGGCTTGGTGGACCTGTGCCCACAGTCTTGGGCCTTCAGTCAGGGTCCTGAGCTGTGACCTCCTGTGGTTGGATTTTCCCGCTCCTTTATACCACCTTGGCGCTTGACCATCCCTCCTCATGGGTGGGCTTTAAAAAAAATTGTTTATTTATTTGACTGTGCCAAGTTTTAGTTACAACACATGGGATCTTTAGTTGTGGCATGTGGAATCTAGTTCCCTCGCCAGGGATCGAACTGGGGCTCGCTGCATCGGGACCGTGGAGTCTCAGCCACTGGACCCCCAGGGAGGCCCCGTGGGTGGGCTTTCACTCTCCATGTATGGTTGAAATTCCCTCCTTGGCGCTGAGCCTTCTGGATACCATTACATCTTCTCAGCCTCCAACCATGCCTTTTCATCTCGCATCTTGAGTGTAGGCCACCCAGGAAACAGGACTTTCTTTGACCCAAGTCCAAGCCTGCCAGCTCCAGTAACTCTTTGGAACAGCAAATTCTCTGGGGATCTAGTTTTCGCTTTGTTTCCTCCTGGGCTCCCCCCTTCCCTAGCCAGTCACCACCCAGAACCACAGTTCCCTTCCTGGCTCAGAGTTACGGTGGTGGGTCCCATTTCTGTTCAAACTAGAAAGCTCTGCCGCACAGTTCTTGGATTGAGGCTGACATCTTAGGAGAGGGGCATGCTGGGTAAATCCGAAATGTCTGGGGTCTGGCTTGCATCCCAGTAATGTGGTGGCTGACTTGGAGGTGGGTGTTCACTGGGAAAGGGGAGATGGCTGGTCTGGAAAGGGGGCAGACATGTGAGCAGCAGCCCAGAAGGGGTGGCACTGGGGCAGGGGGTGATGATTCCCCTGGCAGCATTTTGTCTGTATGTCTCTTGATTGTCCACTCACTTCCCTCCTTTTCTCCGTGGCAGAAAATTTGGCTTTGGGGACACCTTATAAACACATAATCAAGGAAAACTCTCAGGTGCTCACACAGCTGGTATATGTCCTTTGGGATGAGACATGTTCAGCTTCTCTAGATGTCGGGAAGGTTGGATCACTGTGCTCTGGAAGGCAGCCCTTCACTCTGGCCTGACCCACGGGCGACCACATCTAGATCTTAGGAATGTTCCTGTCTTCTCCCCACCCCTGGTACCAGAGGATGTCTGCTCAGTGTTAAAAGGTTTCTGAAGGTTTATTTACTGTTCAAAAAACTCTGCCCACCCCTGCCTCTTGTTGATCAGCATGGCATCCACTGGTAAGTCTCCTCCTTTCTAAGATGCTAGCTGCAAGAGATGGGAAGGATTATCCCCTGATTGGCAGGTCACGATATCTCTAGGACCCAGAGGCTAGGAATCATGGTGATGTGATGGCCACTCTTCCTTGTCAACCAGGACATTCTCACCAAGCAGACAAGACACCCCAGATGCTCGGTACCCCAGCTGGCCAAGAGCAGGGTATCTGCGCTGGACAATTTCTTCTGTCCCCTCTTCGAGATCTGGCTGTCCTCGGAGATTAAGAATGAATGAAGGATGAGAATATTCTCCCTTGCACTTGTAGTGAAACTTCACAGGTCTGTTTTTTGACAAGACCCTTACATCTGAAACACCCAGTTTTTGTCACCCTAACTGAATAATATTCTGAGAAGTCACACCACTGTAACCGCCCCCCCCCCCCCCCCCGCCACCTTTTTTTTTCTCAAAAGTCCCTTCCACCCAGATCCATGTAGAAGCAGAGACTATCCAAGCGGGAAGGGACTTCGGGAGTCATCTCAGTGCCTCTCACACTGTAATGTGTTTATGACTCACCTGGGGAGCGTGTTAAAATGGATATTCTGGTTTACTCAGTCTGGGGTGGTATCTCAGATATTGCATTTCTACCAAGCTTCCAGGTGATATGGATGCTGCTAGCAAAGGATCACGCTTTGGGCAGCGTGGACCAATCTAGTCATTTTTACAGATATGAAAGCTGAGGTCTAGAGGCCATACATAAGTGATTTCCTTGAGTTCCCAAGTAGAACTCTGCTCTCTCCACTCCTGGCCCATCATGTCAGCTTTTAAAAGGGCCTTCCTCCTTCTAAGTTGCCACTTCCTGCTGAAGCCTGGAGCTCCATCATAAACATAACGCCTCATCTTAATCCCATCACACTGGCAGGATGAAAGGCTTCTTGTCTCATCAGGGCCCCTCGCTCCACATCTGCCCTTGTACCATCTCCAAAGAGGTTTTTACAAGTGTTTTAAATTTGTTCTGACTTTTGGACACCGCCCCTTCTCTGCTGGAAGTGTTAGAAATAATTTCTTTCTCAATAAAAGTCTGCGGGGCACCTTTAAGACACAACTGTCTCAGTTCCAGGCCAGGGCCAAACCCACATGGCATACCCTGCTTATGGGACTTTCCCCAGATCTGGTCTGAGAAAAGTTCTCCCTGTTTCTCTGCTACCGCCTGAAAAAAGGTCAAGGGACAGCTTTGAGTATGCCTCAGTTTCCCTGATTCTCAAGCAGAAATTCCAGAGCTCATCACAGACTGGCGCTGGAGGCTATCAGAGATGGCCTTGGGCCAGTAGGAACTGGTTTGAGAGTCTAAGGAGGTCTCCACTCTCTGTCCCCTCCTGCTGGTGGGAGGGCAAAATGCCAGTCTGGTAAGGAGGCCACACTGGCAACAGGGGGTAAAAGTCTCACCGGGGCCAAGGGAAGGTGGAATGTAAGAGGGAGTCGGGAAGAATTGCCTTTTATAGACACGTTCTTTTCTTTCTTTCGTTCTTTTTTTTTTGCTTCCAAGTTTACTCACAGCGACAGAGCCACTCTCAGGCGCCCAGCCAGCCTGAGACTGCGCCCGGGGCGGGCCGGTGGCACCCGCATCTCCCCCATCCCCCCGTCTTGCCCGCAAGTTGCATGACCTGCATCGGAATCCACAGGGGGGCGGGGGAGAATCCTTTCAGATGCTGGATGCAGCTGAATTCAGCGTGTTCGCTTCCTCGCCTGCCCTCCTCCAAGTCGGCGAGGAGAGCGCCGCTTTCTTCTGCGTGTGAATGCTGTAGTGTGTCTGCCTGCTCGGACTTCCCTAACCCTTTCTTCTCCTTTCCCACCGCGAATGCTCCGGTTGTCTCAGCAAACATCTCATACTTGGCATTCTGACGTTTGATTAAAAAGAAAAATCTCTACCAAGGCGAAAAACGGGGGCTCGCCTCCTCTCCCGCGGGGGACCGAGCTCGCGTGGCAGGCTGCACCTGCTTTGCTCCCCTACCAGGAAGGGGTGCTTGTGTGGGAGGGAAGGGGGGGAGGTCCTGTGCCCCCGAATCCGGAGAAAGCAGCTCGCCCACCCCCTCGCCCGGCAGCCAGCGCAGCGCACCCGATCGCCGAACCCCGAGAAGCCGGCCTCTGACGGTACTGGCCTGGTGCTTGCCAAAAAATGCCCCTTGCATCTCAATTTCCCCGGCGGTTTTTCTCGCACGCACAGTTCGCCCCGAGCCACCTCGGATCTCCAGGGCAGCCCTTTCGTTGCTAGTTCCTTCCTTACCGGCTCCCTGTCTTCCCAAGGACGCAAAACCCACCGCCAAGAAGGCGCAGGGGGCGCGGGGCACCTACCCAGCCATGTCCCGCAGTCCCCTCCCAGCTGATCCTAGCTCCCGGAGTCTAGATTACGGAAACGAGCGTCGCGTAGACCGAGGACCGCGCGTTCGCGGCGCGGGTCCCCGGCCCCGGGCGCCTCTCTGGGGTTCCTGTGCGCCCTCGCACTCCCGATCGCCGTCTCCGAGCCTGTGCCCCTCCCCAACCCCAGCCGGGCTCGGGAGCGCTCCCCGGTCACCTCGGCCGCGCTCATTTTACTTCCTTTCGCGGTCCGGATTGCAGCAAAACCGGGCAGCGCGAGGGCCAAAAAGTGGAAAGGAGAGCGCCTTTCCGCGTCGCGCCGCCAGCTCGCCAAGTCCCCCTCCCCAGTCCAGACCCTCGCAATCCCAACTGCAACTTTTTCCCTTCCGTCTGGCTTTCCCCTGGGCTGCGGCGAGCGGGCGCCGGGCCGCTAGGCGTGGAGCGGGCGGTAGCGCGGCTGCGGGTGGCGGTGCGGGCGAGCGCCGAGAGCCGGCGAGTGGGTGGGTNTCCATCATCAGCTCCTGGAACTTGATCAAACTCATATCCATTGAGTCAGTGATGCCATCCAACCATCTCATCCTCTGTAGTCCCCTTCTCCTCTTGCCTTCAATCTTTCCCAGACCAGAATCAGGGTCTTTTCTAAGGAGTCAGCTCTTCTTGGCTTCTTCTTTTTATAGTTTTGTCTCCCTCCCCACTCCCCCCACCCCACCCCCTCTCCTCTCCTCCTCCTCTTTTTTAGAAGCAGCGATCGGAGATGGATGTCTCTCTTTGCCCAGCCAAGTGTAGTTTCTGGCGGATTTTCTTGCTGGGAAGCGTCTGGCTGGACTATGTGGGCTCCGTGTTGGCTTGCCCTGCAAATTGTGTCTGCAGCAAGACTGAGATCAATTGCCGGCGGCCGGACGATGGGAACCTCTTCCCGCTCCTGGAAGGGCAGGATTCAGGGAACAGCAATGGGAACGCCAGCATCAACATCACGGACATCTCAAGGAATATCACTTCCATGTAAGTCAGGCGGCCGCTCCCCAGCCCCGCCGCCTCTCCCCTCGCTCCGCGTCTCCCTCTCGCCCGCCGGCCCGCAGCCGGGAGCCGGCCCTCCGCCCGCCCCAGCTCGCCCACTGCCCGCTGCCCGCCGGGCGCGCGTCAGGCTCGCTCTGGCTCGGGAGATGCTCCCGGGCTGCGTATTCCAGGTGACTCCGGCCTTGGCGAGGCGTGATCCGGCGATGCGTGTGTCTGTGTGTGTGTGTGTGTGTGTGTGTGTGTGTGTGCGCGCGCCCGCGCGCGCGAGTGTGAGTGTGCCTCTCCCCCGAGAGGACCCCAGCGGCCGGGGCACGCGGGACCCGGCTCCCGCCCCCGCCCCCCACCCGCTGCGGCTCGTTTCGAGGGTGTGAATCGGGTTCTTGGACCCCCACTAAATAGCAACAGTTTGGCCACGCTCAAGTGGAATAAAGTAGACGAGGTTCGATTCCCTGGCAGCGGCGCCGGGCAGCGACAGTGGCGGCGGCGGAAGCGCTTAGCCGGGAGAAAAGGTGACAGATAGGGACTGCTCTCGATCCAGCCGAGAGGTTTGACTCTTTCCGTTTGGAAACCTCAAAACACGCCGTCAAGTAAACAAGTTGGAAGCTGGCTGCTCGCTGGGAGACTTTGGACCTGTCGAGGCAGCCATGGACGCCTACCCCTTCCTCTTCCCTCTCGCCCGCCCTCTCCCACCCCATTTTGGGCATTTCCGAGACAGCCACCCCCCACCCCCTGATTCCCACCCTCATCTGCATCTCGGCGCCCACAGATCCCGTTCCTCTTTGAGCTTTGATAACTGTTCCGGTAATTCCGAGTCAGGCTGCTGAAGGGAGGACGGAAAGCTTGCATATTTGGGAGATGGGGCTTCTTCTGTGATCGTTTATTCGAAAAATCGAACTCCGATTGGCATTGCTTGGTTCTGCCCCATCTGAGTGAGACCTGTGTTGGCCTGCTCTTTTTTTGGGGGGGGTGGCATTTTTCTTTGGCAGGGGTGGGGGTCAGACACCGGGAGGAGAGCGGGAGCCTGTCCAGATTCTCTTCCACTGACCTCAGCCAGGTGACCCCCCCCCAATCCTACCATCCAGAGAAGGGTGTGGATGGCATAGGGAGGGTTCAGGAGATAGCTCTCGTCTATCTCCCCCCGACAAGGCCCCCACTTCTTGGAGACCCGCAAAGTGGGTGGGATGCTGAGAAGGGTTGACACTGAAGTGCCGACTGGCGTCTGAGGAAGGCATTTGGGCGGATTCGGCCGGGGGAACTGTTCTCCTAAGCATCAGACTTCCCTGTGCCTTGGCCCCCAGCGCGATGGGGCTATAAAGCCGGGAGGAATTGCGGTCCTGCTCGCTCCCAAACCCACCAGCCCTCTTGGGTTAATGGAGACTCCAAACGCGTTCTTGCGGCTAACAGTTTGAGGGAAGTGTGCAGCTCAGGAGGTGCCCCCTGAATCCTGGCCCAGGAGACAAGCTTGGCCCATATCTTGGCTGGACCGTTCACCCCCACCCCTCAACCTCGCCACCTTCAACCCAGTTGGCTCTGGGGTGACAAAATAAACAGCCAAGGGTGGGGTGGAGGGGAGGGCAGGGGAAAACAGGATGGACCCAGCGCAGCCTCTCCCACCTGCAGGCCACAGCATCTCAGCCTCCCTAAGGATGCAGCAAGGAGGGTGGGAGTGAGATTGCCAGGGAAACTCTGCCTTGGAAGTACACTGTGGGGCTGTGCCCACTGTGGGTCTCTGGAAGCTGGTGAGCTTCACTCAATCTGTTCTCTGCTCCAAGGATGTGCGTCTCTGTAGGAAGCCAGTGGGAGGCAGGGAGGGTCACAATCACGTAGGCTTTTCATGGCCACGCAGCGGTCCTCTGAAAAATGGTCCCTCTGAAGAAATGAAGCTTGGGGAGGCAGTTCGATAGGGAAGAGCTGGTTGCTCTTTCCAGGCGGAGGGTCTAGGATGGGACTGCTGGAAAGGTCAGTGATGGGAAGGGAGGAAGTGGCTTCTTGTTCCCTGTGCCATTGAAGGACCAAAAGGGCAGCTGGGGGGACAGGGAGCCAGGAGTAGATTGGGAGTCCCTCTGTGAGTGTCTTCATCCTTGTTTCAGGACTCAAACTCTACCTGGGAGTTGGGACTCCTTTCCTTGAAAATACCCCAACACTTCAGAGCCAGGCGACTGGATTCCCACAGGAGCTGTGCCGAGCGGCAGGTGGGGGAAGGTCAGAGGTCACGGGTGGGATGACCCTTCCTCACCCCATCTTCTCCCCAGTGCCCTGTTATATCCATGGCTGGTATTGACTGAACTGGGGAAGGGTCCAGCCTCCTGGCCTGGAGGCAGAGGACCGTGGAGAGGAGGAGGGGAGGTCTGCTCGCCCTGTGGAAGCAGATGTCACCCTCTGTATCTTACCCCATGATGAAGGCTCAGGCTGCCAAATGGCTCCTGGGGGCGCACAGCCCCAAGCAGTGAGCCAGGCTTAGACCTCTGCTGGGCTGAGGTCCCACCTCAAAGCCCAGGGCCCCCACTCTGCAGGGCTGCGCATGGAGGCTTGAGGGCAGAGAGGAGCCCTCCAGGCAGAAGAGGGGGCCTTCCTTTAGTGGGATCCGGGAGGGGGGCTTCAGTCCGAACCTGGGCTTTGCTGTAAAGGAATGTGTTCCTTGGATGTCTGATGGTATCAGAGATATGGTGTCAAGGGGTCCCCTAGCCCTCCATCAGCCTGGAGCCCTTAATGCTGCTGTATGTCTGGGGGGTGCAGCTTGGATGGGCTCCGGGGGCTGAGGAAGAGGCTGGGGCACATGCTGGAGTTCCAGCAGCTCTAGCTAAGGAATCAGGGGCGACTGCCACCCAGCCACCTGCCTGTTCCCAGGGCTCTGGGGTCCTGAGGTTTCTCCTTCAGGTGCTGAACTGATGATACCTGAGTTTTCAGAGGGACTAGAGATTTCCTGTGGTCCTTCTTCTCTGGGCTGGCGTGTGGGTTGTTTCCCGCCTCCCCCGTGGGAGGCTGACTGAGGGTGCTTCTGATGGGGAGTTGGCAGCCCCGCCAGCGTCAGGAGGAGATCAGATGCAAGGCCTCAAGACAGACGTGTGAGTCTCACCTCCATCCCTCCCCAGGCGCCCTCCCTTTTGGCTTCTTCCTGTTCAGGAGGCCAGTACCTCTGTGGTTGAAGCTCCTGACACATAGTAACCTTACCTAGAAGGGTCCATGCGCGGCCGCGCCCAACCCAGCTCTGACGTCACAAAGGCAGGAGGGTGTTGGCGGGGAGGGGGGCCGTCTGGGCGTCTGGAGACCAGGCCTGCCTGGGGCTGGGGTGGAACCGAGCATCCTCGGGCTGTTAGAAAGACCAGGGGGAGAAGGTGGCATCTCTGGGCTGGGTGTTCTTTGGCTTGAGAAGAACACGGGCTCTTGGCTGGGGCCCTGAGCCACAGCGGGGCCCCTGGCGTTTCCGGGGCTCTGGTCCCTTTATTTCCCCTGCCTTCCCGGAAGGCCCTCCGCTGTCTGGGTGAAGGATCATTTGGGACTTGGCTTGCTGCTGCACTGACTCCCTGATTCTCAGTCTTCCTGAGGGTCATGAGCAGAGCCAGCCTGGACAATTACCAGTGAGAGCCGGACTGCGGGCAGCGGTGGGAGCCAGGCCCCAAGAACATCATGGGGCTCAGTCAGGAGCCCCCAAACTGGGGCTAGGCCTGAGGGAGGTAGGCAGAGATGTGAAGGGCTTTGGGGGTGAGATGTAGCAGGGGGAGTGGGTATAGTCCTGGAGAGAAGCTGGGGACTCTGGATTGCAGAGGTCCTGAGCTTTTGTGTGGATGCCAGGCTGTGGGAGGTGGGTTCCAGGCCTTCCCTGGAGGACCCTCCCTGGAACCAGAGCCCTGAGCTCAGTCTTCTGAGGAGCACCCTGGGGCCCAGGACATCCATCCTGCAGCTCCAGGGGACCTAGCACGTGACAGGCTTGGGTAAAACCAGCCTGGCCTGGCCCTAGCTTTGCGAGAGCTTGTCCTGGCCCCCCGAGGGCTGAGCCTGGAACCTGGTTGTCGGCTCAGCATCCTGCAAGTGGCGGAGCCCCCTCCTGCGTAGTGGAAGTGGAGCGCTGAGGCTGTGCGGGGGGAGGGGCCTGATGCCACCTCCACCCTTGCCCCACTGGTCTCTGCCCCCTCCTCTTTGACTGTCGGGGGTGGACTCGGCCCCCGCCCCAGCTGGCCCTTTGCTGAGACTGTTGGTAACTTGTGACCCTCCCTCAGGGTGGCCTTTGACCCCAGGTTCATGGCATCTCTGCTGCAGTCTGGGGTCCCCCATCTCGAGGGCCACGTCCAGTGGCTTATCCTGGGACCACAGACACCATCTCCAGCCTCCCTTTGGGGTGTCCAGTTGGCCAGTGGAAGGGTAGACTTAGAGAAAGGGATGGGACATGTGAGTCAACCCCCCTAGACTGTCCCTTACCCTCTGTGGACCACGATAGAAGACTGTAGCCTTTCTGAGCCTGTAAATTCAGCTGTGAGTTGAGAGCACGGGGCAGTGTGCTTTCCGGCTTGGACGTATGCCCTCCCAGGGCCCAAGGACCAGCCCGAGGAGGCTCTGCTAGGCCACTTCTAAGGGCACCACCCCTGGGCTTGGTGCTGACCCCCATCACGCCACCCTGAGGAGGGCAGCAGGTACCCCGTTGCTGGCCATTGGCTACTGGCCACTGTCTTTTCCTTCCTTCCCCATCCACTTCTGGAGGACTCTGGGCTCCCCAGGGTGGGGTCACCTGCCAAGGCCAAGTGTGACTCTTAGCAAGAATGCACTGAAGCCTGTGGACTCTCACTGGAGGCCTCTCATGAGCCGCCCTTCTGTACCGTGAGCTCAAGGCAAGGAGATAGCCCCTGCCAAGCTCCAGCTCCTTGCCCAAGCAGGGGCCTCTGCTGGGTGTGAGAAGAAAACGTTAGAACTTCTATTTCAAGTTATTCTCGTTGAGAAAAGGGAATATTTAATATTTAATGTATGGATAGAAGATGTATAAGCATATAATT